AAATGAAAATTCATTTTACTGCAGAAAAACTTGTCCTTACAATGCAATTCAAATGAAAACTATGCTATTTCAATTTCTAAGCAATCTGTTCTAACTCTAAAGTAGTAGCTCAAAAATCCGATCTTCAAGCAATGCGACCGAAATCCATTTCTTCACGATCAGATTCAGTTTACTTCTTCCCTTAAGCTTCCTCTCTTTTCTTCGATCCTACAAAATATTAAAATGTAATCTTATCACATCATGTATTGAAAATCAAAGAATAGGAACTTATAGAGTTAGTTATTGGATTTTACCTGAAGTAGAGTCATACGCCTTGACTCTCCCATCTATTAGATCTCTCAGGTAGTTTGGTCAACTTCGTCTCCAATGCCCCTTCTCTTGGCAATAAAAGCAAATGGACTCCTTTGGCACAACACATGGGACAATCTCACACTTAGTCCTTTCTTGACTTCCAATTTTGCCAGTGTCCATTGAAGTTTGGGAGTTTGATTCACCAGACAAATTTTATTGACCAGCACGCCAAATCATTGCTGATTCAGCAGCTATAAGCAAATAGGTGAGATCAATGAGGGTCACGTCGTGGTCCATCATATAGTACTCTCTAACGAACTTACTATATGATTCAGGAAGCGACTGAAAAACCCAATCAACAGCCAACATCTCTAAGATATCGACACCCATCATCCTTAACCTATCAATGTGTGACTTCATCTCTAAGATCTGTGCACACATAGGTTTCCCATCTTCGTGTTTACTTGCCAAAAGGGCTTGAGTGAGCTTGAAATTTTCAAGCCTTCGAACTTGTGGGTCAGGGAGAATAATTGGAGGAGGTGCAGGAAGTGAAGCATGATCTCTGGTTCCTCGATCATATTGGGAATATCATCTCCATTTGGAAAACTTGTTCCATTGGATTTGGGAAGACCATTGTAAGATTCATACATCTACAAAATGGGAGAAATTCAAGTTAGTTGATAAGAATCCTTGATGAAACATCCAAATGAAACATCAAGGCGAGGACCCAATACAATACTCTACAACCTAGAAGAGGGATTCTGTAATCTAGTTTCAGAATATTTTAGGGTAGGTAAATGACGATTTACCAATTTCCACCATGAAAAACGAAAAAGAAATTTAAGTTTTAAATGAATTGAAACTCCTAGATCTTTTGAGATTCATTGAACTTTTCAATAGCATGTTTAATCTCGATTATGCCCTTCATTTATGACTAGGATGCCGAGGATCACAAATAAGGTGTGAATAACCATGTGAATGTACATGGTGCACTCAATGCTACTATCACCTAATCAATGTGCCAGTTAGCCACACACGCTCTATTGATCTGTGATAAACATTGAGTCACCCTTCTCTACCAATGCCAAACCCAAATTAGTGTACCGGTTAACCACACACGCTCCACCAACGTCTCGACAAGGGTACAAATTGTCATTCCATGGATTAGCATGCAATTTCACATTTTTCCTAAAGTAACTATGATTTAGGAATTCTAAAAAAATATTTAGTTACTTTCTACTTCATTATACTTTTAATGGAAGGTTTCTATCCTATCCTACCCGTTCGGCTAACGACCATCCACTAGTCAAGAGTGTGGTGGGTAAGAGTGGATACCCATTCAATCACCATTTTATAGGCAATTTCCTTAAACACCCCTTATAGACCAGCTTTGTGAATGAGGCCTGCTAACGGTAAGACTGACTCTTTACTCATATATATATATATATATATATATATATATATATATATATATATATATATATATATATATATATAATATTAGACTTTTAATGTTACATATATATAGTATAGGGTGTATTTTACACTTTTAAAATACTAGGTGATTTTATTAACTTTCTCTTTTAATTAAACTTTTAATTAACTTAACAAAACCATGAGGGTGTAATTTGAACTTTTCAAAATACTAGAGTTTTGAGAATTTAAATATTACATAATTAAACTATTAATCAAAATTTTAAATTCCAAAACTTGAGGGAATGTTTTGAAACATTTCAAAACATTAGGGTTTAGAATTTAAATATTTCAAAATTAACTTTTAATCAAAAATTTATATTCCAAAACTTGAGGGCAAGTTTTGAAACTATTCAAAACACACAAGATCAAATTGCAAATAATTTAAAATTAAACAATTAATTTAATAATTATCTAAATTTGACCCAATCAAGATAATTTACAAGATAATTCAAATGTAAATTACAAATAATCAATCTTTATCTAATAAAACAAATGATTATCTAAATTTTGATAATTATCTTCTATTTTGGCAATGATATTCACCCAATATGGATAATATTCGGATTTTATTGACAAAAAAACGTTTTAGGTAATTATCCACAGCCAAAACAGGTCAAAATCCTGCAAAAACAACATTTTGCGTCTCAGACTCGTCGAGTCAGCACTGGACTCGTCGAGTTCACAGTGGACTCGGCGAGTGCAGCCCCCAGAAACTCAAAATTTTTTCGATTTTAAGCTTGAATAATCAAATATATCATCAAATACATCAAACAAACAACCCTAGGCTCTGATACCACTGAAGAGTTTCGAGCAAAACATCATTCATATGGTGTACATGCAAACCCTAATAGTTTTGGATCTAGTTTGTCTAATGAACATGCAATTGATAATCCAAAGCCATAAACCCTAGATCTAATAAACTATAACTGAAATAAGGGTTTAGATCTTACCTTTGATTGTTATATAACAATAACAATCAATCCTTGGCTTCAGAAAGCTTAGTGCCTCAAGTGTTGCACCTCTAATGGAGTCATAAACACCACTAAGCAACAAGATGAAGAAGAGAAGAGGGGGGAGGCACCGAAAACGGTTGGAAACCCTAATCCAAGTGTTAGCCACGTTTTTGGTGCCCAAGGGTTCCTTATATACTTAGGCTATTAGGGTTATCCAACAAGGAAACCCTAATTTGACTGCTTAATCCCTAAGCAGCCCATGGACACCTTCTGGAACATGCCTTGGACGATTTCTAATGGGCTTCCCCATAGAATTCGTCCAACCTATTATTCCAAGGTGATCCATAGCCCAATTGCAATTATCTTATAATTACAATTCCAGTCCCCTAAGTTTAATTAATCTCTTTTAGCCACAAAATTAATTATTTATTAATTCTTGACTAATATTAATTAAACAATAAGATTTATCCTTTAATATATTATTCTCATAATATACTTATAAATCATAATTAAACCTTTCTCCCCTTAATTCATCCTACATATTGCTATGGTGAAGGCAATCCAAAAGGACCATGCTTATGATCGGGTCAATTACATACCAAAATAGTTATGGACTTAGACACTAATCCAACATGCTCTGGGTTAGATGGGATAGAGTCATAGATTCCATGGAAGAAGGAGGATTGGGGATTGGAAGTCTTTTCTTTGTCAATAGGGCTATGATGTTTCATTGGCGCTGGAGGTTTTATTAGAGCCCTAACCTTTTGTGGGGTTGAGTGATAAAATCTATTTATGGTTCGGATGGAGCATGTATTTGATCTCACCTACTAGTGCGCAAGGTCCTTGGGTTGGGTTTATTCGTATGTTTTCCCAGCAGAGAGAGAAAGATATTGACCTTCAATATTTTTTCCCAATTTGAGTTGGAGATGGGACTGCTACTTCTTTTTGGCATGACATGTGGAGGGGTGACGTGCCTTTGTCTTCTATCTTCCCTAGAGTTCATGTTCTGGATTTGCACAGACACATTCTATTAGTGACATGCTGCATATGGGATCAAGGTTTAATACCTTTAGATGTATTCCTAGAGGAGGAGTGGGCAGCAGCAATGGGACAACTTTATTTTACTTTTGCAGGATTTCCGTTTCCAGTCGATTCCAGATAGACAAGGTTAGGTTATCGATACATCAGTCACTTTTTCAGTTTCTTCAACTCGGAGATATTTTGATGGTTTTATGCTCTTCACAGTTGGTCATGCTACTCGTCAGAATAATTGGATTCCAATTAAGATTAATATTATTATTTGGAGGATTAGACTTCTAGCATCCGTACTAGAGAGCGATCATCTCACAGGGGTTTCTTGCTAGATTCCATTCTTTACCCCGGTTGTTCTTCTAGGGTAGAGACTATTGATCATATTTTTGCAGAGTGTACCAATTTGATTGCTTTATGGTCCCGTATTGTTGTTTGGTGGGGTGTTAATCTTCGTTCTTAGGTTATAGTGGACTCTCTTATCAATTGGGCGGCGTCTTCTTCTTCGAGAATCAGCAAGCGTAAAGCTTTCGATGCAGTGATCTTGACCTTGTTTTGGTGCATTTGGAATTTCAGTAATGCAATGATTTTTGGAGCCGCCAATCCTAGAAAATCCTTGATTTTTGAGGATGTTATTTATAAGTCTATTCTTTTTATGGATTTCGAATAGGTGTACAAAAGCCATATTTAGTTAGTCTTCTTGGCTTCATATTCCTATTTCTGCCACTATTTTGATTTAATTCTTTTTCTAGTTTGTTGCTAGTTTTAATAATATTCCACCGTTCCAAAAAAAAAAATATCTAACCCTTAGTAACATATTTATATATTTTTTGGTGTACAATATCAGGTTAGAAACTTACATACACTTTCATGACTTGATAACAATAAATTTTCATTTTTTTATCAATAATAACTGTATTAAATAAATAAAATAAAAAAGTAATAAACTCATATTAATTGATAAGGAGAAGTACATTACTGTTTTTGAATACAAATATAAATACGTTCTATTATGGAAAAAAAAAGTATATTACAACTGCGGTTAAAAATATGAGAAACGTCTTGCATTCTTCTTTCCGTACAATTCCCAATTCTCCTTTTTTTGGTGCTTGATCTTTGGCATCAATTTCTTTCTTCCACGATGGGTTTAATCAATACTAGTGGTGGAGGGAAGGGATGGAATTACATTCTTCCTTCCTGTATACTAAAGACCAAATTATCCTTAATTACAAATTGAACACCCACATCCATCACACATTAACGTTTGCATCTCTTCACTGCTGTATATCATCGATTGCTTTGCAGCTTTCTCACGTCATTTTTCTCCTTGGTTGAATCAGGTATCATCTCCGTCTATCTCCTTATTTGTGATTGGTGATTTGCAAACTTATTTGGATATTGAAAGTCTACAGAGATTAAAGATCAAAAGCGTAATTTCATCTAAAGGACTAAGCAGTGAATTAACAGCAGTGATAATAACTGTAGACAAGTTCAAAGTGCTGGAACCTTTCACTCGATTCGAACCAGCACTTGATTTCATCTGCTTTAATAGGTAAATTGGTCTCTTCAAACTGGCGCCAATATCTATCCTTAAAACACCTAACATTTCACTCTACTTTCGTACATATCCAATTACGTTATAATGATTATATATTTAATGCAGAAATGCCACAAGAATACCCATACCCTTCTCACGTGCATGCAGCTAGTTTTGTTTCAGTCAAGCTGTCAAGTAAAACCAATTATTCTATGTGGGAGGAACAGATGAAGTGCCTTCTGGAGAGCCACGATATGCTCGGTTTCATTGATGGAACAATAAAGAAAGGGAAACATAGGGGATGGAATCGGTCAGACAAACTTGTCAAAGGATGGATTTTTGGCTCATTAAGTGAAGATGCGATGGCTAGTGTTGTTGGCCTCGACACAGCCAACAACGTGTGGGAGAAGCTAAGGGCTACTTACGCTACTCATCCCTATCCTAACATAGGTACGGCTTCAATATTGCTGACATGGTTTTTATTTTTATTTTTTTTTTGCTAATTGTAGTGACTATTTTAATTCTTATGGAAATAGATAAGACAGATTACCTCCCACTATCGAGAGCAATTATGAGGGGCGACTGGGAGGAAGCCCGAGAAATTTTTACCAGGGACAAAGATGCATTAACTGCTAAACTCAATGTTAATGGCCAAAGCGCACTCCACATTGCAGTTGATGCATGTAAACATATCCAGTTTGTTGAGAATCTCCTGAAGGAGATTAATCCAGAATCTCTTCTAACTTTGGTGAGCTATAACAAGAAAAATGCACTGCATCGTGCCGCAATGGTTGACAACACCAAGGCTGCAAAGATGTTGGTGGAGAAAAACCCGTATTTGTTATTCAGTCTTGACAACATGAACACCTTGCCGATCCATAGAGCTATCATCGGTTCTCTCACGAAACCACATTTCAGTATATGCTTGATGCCTGTATGCATCATATAGCGCTTTCCCAAGAAGATGGATATCACAATCCCTTTGAGGGAAGACATGGTGTCACGCTTCTTATTAATGTAATCAATGTCGGGCTTTTGGGTGAGTCTTGAAATCCCTAATACGTAGTTGACTTAGTTAAGACATCAAGCCTTTGAGTGTATATATGTACGGGAAATGCTTCTAGCTACAAACAAGAAATGCATCCCCCTTAATTTGGATCGTATAATCAATTGTCAAAGAGAATTTAAGGGTGCGTTTGGTTGTGGAAAATTGTTTTTCATTTTCTAGGAAAATGTTTTCAGAAAATAGAGTTGAGTTTCATTTTTAATTTTCAATGAAAATTTTAGAAAACGTGTTTGGTTGAAACCGGGTGAGTTTTCATTTTCCATCTTAGAATTTTGGAAAACTTTGGAAGACTGTAAAAATCATTTTTCTAATTTACATACAATTTGGAAAACTGAAAATTTTCATTTTCTTTGGAAAATTTTGGAAAACTGAACTAACCAAACGCGTTTTCAAAATTTCCGTTTTCCTTTGAAATTTTTCCTAGAAAACTGGAAAATTTTCTACAACCAAACGCACCCTAAAGTATCGCGTACACATTTTTTCTATATTTACTTTCATTTTTAATGCTCTTCGCAGATGTTGCTTACGATTTGATCAAGAAGTACCCTGCCATGGTTACGGAAAATGTTGGCCCTTACATACCCTTGTTGTCTATTGCGAGTAAAGCGGACTTGTATTTTAGTGGAACCCAATACAACTTCTACCAAAAATTTGTTTATGCTCGTAGGTTTCTTCTCTTTCTATTACATGATTTTGGTTTTCTTCTTACCACGACCTTCTAGATAAAATTCTACTCTAATTTTTACACCTAAAACACAATTTAAAAAAAAAAAAAAGTTGCACCTAAACTTTTATAACCATGAATTTTATTTTGCTTGGATCGTCATGATAATCTTTATTTGTGTTGATATCATGTATTTTTAGCTTTGATTTTGCCTCCCTGGTGATGTTGTTAACAACTAATTATTATTTTTGTTAAAAGATCTACCAACAGGTAACAATGATTTAAGTGATACAAACAAGATTCAAGATATTGAGAACCAAGACACTTATACCGGCAACTTTGAGACCAATAGCTGGAAGACCTACTTCTATTATGGTTTGTGATCTTAAAACTCTTAACAGTTGAATCTTGAACAATAAACATCATTAAAACAAAAAAATTATTTTATTTTTGGTCTGACTTCGGTCTCCTTTCAAGCATGTATGTTCTCATTTATGTCTTGCAGGCGTTTATCTTTATTAGGAATTTGTATACACAAGTGATCACACATCTATTGTCCTCACCACACTTATTGTTACTGCACGCCATTACTATTGTTGATTTTTAGTTAACTTTCTCATATAAATCCAATCTGATTTCTCCTGTAGTCATCCAGAGGATTTATGTCAAGTTTTGGGATGTTGCACTACTACATGGTAAGGAACATTCCCTTCTTTCCCCTTAAATGCATTACTTCATTCATCTATAATTTGATGTAAAAAGATTCTCTACTTAAAGGACTCTGAGCTCCCCTCACGTGGAAATTCCTTAATTTTTTTTTTTTTTGGAGATATGCACACTTGATCCACAACATTTATGTAACATGTCCTCACTGAAGGGGATTGGTATGTATTTGAGACTAAATGTTGGTCTAACCTGCAGTGACACATGTCAAGCATCTCCATGAAGACAAAGTGAAACACAATAAAGCTGTTATGCTACTGAAATGTATATGCAAAGAAGTTGGTAAAATAGATAAAGGGATTGATATTTGTCAAATTTATGGTGAAGCATTTAATCAGGCAGTGCAAAATGATACTCCTGAAGCAGTGGAAGAGATCATGGAATCTTTTCCACAAGCAATCTGGACAAGGAACAGTGATGGCTATTTAGCTACTCAAGCTGCAATAAAAGACCGTTGCCTAAAGGTTCACGGCGTTTTGATACGCCATCTGCCTCGTAACAAGTATTTACTTCATGCCTTTTTGGATGATGATAAAAACAATGAATTGCACTTGGCTGGACAATTGGCACCTATGACCAAACTCAATCTTGTTACTGGTGCAGCTTTGCAAATGCAAAGGGAGTTACAGTGGTTTAAGGTGAACATGCTTTAAACGATATCGATAATTATTTTCTTTAAAATTAGATGTTCCCTAATATTAGTTGAACTACAGGGAGTGGAGAAATTTGGGAAACCCAAATACAAGGAAGCAAAAAACAGGAGAGGAGAGACACCAGTCATGGTGTTCAGAAGAGAACACACGCAGTTAAGAAAAGAAGGCGAACAGTGGATGAAAAAGACAGCTGATTCATACACAATCACAGCTGCACTCATCATTACTATAGTTTTTGCAGCGGCCATCACTGTGCCTGGTGGAAATGATAGCGACACTGGGAAAGCAATTTATTCAAGAAAACCAAGCTTCATTATATTTGTGATCTCAGATGCAATTTCATTGTTTGCATCCACCACTTCATTGTTGCTGTTCCTGTCCATTCTCACAGCACGATATCGAGAGGAGGATTTTCTATATCGGTTACCTTTGAGATTAATAGTTGGCCTTGCAATGTTGTTCTTGTCGGTAAGCTCAATGATGGTAGCCTTTAGTGCAACACTTTATCTTACGTTTGGAGAGGGAAGAGCATGGATTCTAATTCCAGTAGCTACATTAACATGTCTTCCAATTGCTTCATTTGTAACACTACAATTACCGTTACTTGTTGATCTAATCTCCTCAACATATTATCATGGAATCTTTGCTGGACATCAATCGTGGTAGGCGTAAGATCTAATGACAACATTAGACATGACTTGTTGCATTATAAGATGTATTCATTTTTCTATTACACAATCATAATAAAAGGGGGTGCTTCAATAAGAACATATTTTTTAAATGGTGTGATTGCATGTGATTTGATCATCAAGTATCCTGACATGGGTAGACCATTGATGTACTCATACTGTAGGGGAACTTGATACAACTTCTACCAAGAATCTGTGTATGCTTGTATGTTTCTTCTCTTACTATTACATCATATTCATGATGGACGTGTCATATCCATCATAATGTACGCCAGGTTAACCAATGATATGCTTTTATCGGTCACCCGCTAATATGATACTAATCCATGACTGAGGAGCAATGGATCATGATCCAATGATGACTGTTTTCTTTCTTACCACAAACCTTTTCTTCAGACAAAATTCCAACCTAAATAACCTTTACTTTATTTTGTTTTGTTCATCGTGAAAATCTTTATTTCTGAGGATATATTAGGTTTCAAAAAAAAAAAACTTGTTTGCAAACAAAGCAAGGGTTAAACAAACAAGATGAAAATAGGAAATATGAAGGCGATGAGAAGATTGGTTTATTATGAATCTCTTATTAAAGTTGAAGACAAGTTACATCTATTTGTAGGAAAAATAAAAGACTCCTTAAGCAGCAAGTAAAATACACCTAATTTAATTCAAACCCCTACTTACCATAATTAAATTACTCTCCTAAGAATATGGATTATTCCAACATTCTCCCTTTCATCCAAAATTCTTCTAGTCTTTTACTTCAAGTAGTTTTAGGATTTCTTCAAATCTCACTTTGTTCATTGGCTTAGTCAAAATGTTAGCTTTTTGCTCATTGGTACTCACATGTTTTACTACCACATCACCTCGTTCTATGCATTCACGAATGTAATGAATCCATGTGTCAATGTTTTTACTACTTCCATGAAATACTATATTCTTCATTAAATCCAACATCGACCTGTTATACACATTCAACTTAAATGTACGAAATTTTCTTCCGGTTAACACACCAAGCAAACCACATGCCTTGAAATGTTTCACTTTTAGTTGCCATAAGTTATGCTTCACATGACAGAAATGCAACACACTTGTGTTGTTATGGGCTCCAAGTAACAGTATTTTCGATCAAGTAGAACGCCATGCTAGTTGTACTTCTTCTGTCCACCGTATCTCTTGCTAGGTCACTATCAGTGTATTCACACCAATTTTGCCAACTTTCGTATATGACAAGCCATAGACAAATAGTTCCTTCAATATACCTTAGTATGTGCTTCATAGCTAGTTGGTGTTTCTTGGTTGGTTTCTCCATGAAGTGACTAGTAATGCTTGCAAAGTAAGCTATGTCAGAACGAGTGTGAGTACGATACCTTAACCCTCTTATGAATCTTCGATGTGAGCTAGGGTCTAAAAATTCACCTTTTCCATTATAGCTTAATTGTAAAATTGACACCATGGGAAACCTATAACGATTATAATATAACATACCAACCTTCTTTATGATAGAATTTGTTTAACATAGTGTGAGACCATTTTTGTAGTGATTGACCTCGATGCCTATATAGTAAGCTAGCATCCCAAGGTCACTCATTTCAAACTCCTTTCCTATGTTTTGTTTAAACTTCATTATCTCATCCTTGTGGCCTAAGGTGATAGTGAGATGATCAACATAGACACCAATTATAAGTATTATCCCATTTTTGTGTAAATTGCATACTCTTGGGGATACCTTTCAAACCTCTTTCCTTTCATGCATTAGTTTAAGTGTAATTTCCAAGCTCATGAAGTTTGCAGAAAACCATACAATGCTTTTGCCAATTTGTACACCAATTTTTCTTTATCTTTCTTTCACGAACCCTTCTGGTAATGTCACCTAAACTTCTTCTTCTCAGTTTCCATGTAAGAAAGCTTATTTACATCAAGGTGATGCACACTCCATCCGTTCAAAGTAGCAACATAGATTATGATTCAAATGATTTCCAAACGAGTAATCAGTGCAAACACTTCATCAAAATCGACTCCTCGACGAAACTCTATGTTTTATTTTGCTCAATTGCTCTTAACTCAATTTTTATAGCTTCCATCCAATCTTCACTTTCACTTTCAGTTGAGAAATTTACCAGTTCTTCTTCATCTTGTAAAAACATAAGTTCATCATTTTCTTCATAAATATTGGCCAAACGTTTATATCCTTATGGAGCGTCACTTTCGGATGAACTACATGTGATGATTGACGTGTAACCGTGCTACCTTGTGGTGTTTATTCTTAGTCAAAATTTGTGCTTTATTGGATGTCCTTTTCTTCTTTAGGTTCGATATTAAGCATGATATCAAATGTGAGTGTTCCATTTATCATGTGTTTGAACTTTGTTGTAGGTCCCTACTCACACTTTGCAATTTCTTCGAAAATCACATCTCTTCCAACCCGAATTACTCCTTTTTCTAAATCAAGTAATTAATAACCTTTTTTTACCATTTTCAACTCCTAGATGTATGAGTTTCTTACTTCTATCATCGAGTTTTTTTAGATACACATGTTCCTATTATTTTTGCATAAGAAACACACATAAACTCTCACATGATCAATTTTTGGCTTATGACTAGTCCATAGCTCATAGGGTGTCAATTCTTTCAAAGATATTGTGCTTATTCGATTTATAATGTAGTCTAAGTGAGTCACTACTTCTCCCTATAGGACCTCCGGAACGTTTATCCCTTTCGGATTGCTTCTTGCTATTCCAACTACTGTTTGATTGCTCCATTCCACAACACCATTTTGTTTTGGCAAATAAGGTGCTGTATAAGGGTGTTTCAACCCAATATAGCGAACTGTAACAGCCGGATTTTCAGGTATCTTGTATATTTATGTTTTTGGTGTTTTGAGAGGGGACTCGGCGAGTTGGAGCTCAGACTGGCCGAGTAGGGTCGCGGATCTGGTCGCGGGATCGCGCATGGACTCGGCGAGTCCAGGATATGGACTCGGCGAGTCAGCGCTGTGTAATGAAACCCTAATTTGTCGGGTTTGGGACCTATTTAAAGGGCCTTATGGCTGTCATTTGTGCTCACCAGTCCCTTGAGTGAAACCCTAATCGAGTGTGAGCGTTTAGAGCATAGTAGAGGCCATTATTGATCTTGGAGGTGTCATTTTTGCAAGGAAGGAGAGAACTAGCTAAGGGAAAGCAAGTGGAGCCACTTCTGAGAGTTTGGAGTCTAGAGCATCACTATTGTGGTAATAATTTCGAGTTATCTTCTTCCTTGTTGATGTTTATTTTGATTTAGGGTTTGTTGAACCCTTTTGTGGCAAGATCTAGTGTCCCCTTGATCCCTTATGTGGTTTAAACCATAGATCTGGACCCTTGGAGGTCCAAAGTGTCCCTTTGCCCAAGTTTTTTGGGAACCCATGGAGGTTTTGGATTGGAATCCTTATGCCTTAGGTCAAAACTCTATTTATGAGCCATGGGTGTGTTGTGGGCACCAAGATAGAAGCTTTACGTGATGAATCAGTCTAGGGAGGCCAGACTATAGATTGTGGAAGCAGATCTGACCTTAGAAGCAAGTTGGAGTGGTTGCATGGCATGGACTCGCCGAGTCTGTTCATCAGACTCGGCGAGTAGCTTGAAGATTGCCTTGGGTTCGCTCAGTGAGTGGTTCAATCGAGTCATGGGTTGACTCAGTGAGTCAGGGTGAGTTGGAGAGGGACGACAGGTGGACTGAGTCGAACTGGGACTCGCCGAGTTGTTCTTGAGACTCGGCGAGTTGAGTCGGGGTGGCCCCGCGATTCTTCCAGATGAAACTCGTCGAGTGAGGGGGAATACTCGACGTGTAGGAAGGGAATTTTAGAGAGAGTTGGGGAAAACGTCTAGACTCGCCGAGTCCGGTCAAAGTTGACCGTTGACCGTTGACCGTTGACCGAGTTGACCTGTGAATAGTTAACCTTGGAAGATATAAAGTGTGAATTAGAGACATATGATGTTATAGGAGGATTAGAGCTCGGAGGATCGAGCACGAGGGATTTCCAGGATTCGTGAGATACCGAGATACGCGAGGTGAGTCTTCTCACTATACTTTACCTTGAGTAGGTAACCAGAGTTATGTGATAGAGTATTTGTATGCTATGTATGTTATGTGTTGTACTGCATTATTTCTATGTGATTTATGTGGTGCATGTTTATCAGAGCTAGAACCTGAGGGTTCACAGAGTTTGGGTGCACGGACCCACAGAGTTATAGCCTCGAGTGGCTAATATGTGTTATATGTGGTATTTTGGGGAACTCACTAAGCTTTGTGCTTACAGTGTTTGATGTTATTGTTTCAGGTACTAGTGACGACCGCGGGAAGGCGCCGGCTTGATCCGTACACACACACACGGAGTTTTTACATTTGTGATCTTGGGATTTTGTATTGACTTGAATTGGATAATTAATATGGTTGTTTTATGAATATTAATTGAATTATGTTTTATGAAAATTTGAAAAATTTGTTTTGAAATTTACGGTGTTACAATTTGGTATCAGAGCCTTGGTTTGAGGGATTCGGGTACACCTTCGGGAGTATTTGAACTCAAACTGAGGATTTGGAAATATTTTCAAAAGAAAACCTAACTTTTCTAAGAGTAAAAGATTTTCTTGAAAAAGAAACAAATTCCAGGAAGAAACGTGTGTACGATCAGTCAGTGCCCGAACGGTGAATTCCCAAAATACCTTTATATTATGTAATATTGATATTGATATGATGTATCTGCATGCTAGAGTAGGCTAGGTATTGCTATTAGGACTAGAGTGGCCTGATTTGTGATGCCTTAGCCTAGGGAGAGGTGAGCTGCTATGAGATGCTTGAGAGTGAGTAGGTAGCAGCGAGGGGCTTATGAGGGATCTATTAGAGAGTGGTCTACGCATGATAGAGTACTTGGGATTTGGGATCCGAAGAGGAAGATTTGGGGTGTGTACTGAGACGGTGTGGACAGTAGTATTGGGCCCGTACTACTGAAAGCACCGGGGCGGTGCACGGTCCAAATAAGAATCTTTGGGATACCAAGAATCAAGGAGGGATGGATTGTTGAGTGTGAGTATGCTCGAGTGAATTCTAATTTATCACATGTTGTATTTCAGAGGTTGATCATGGTGAGGACACGTCATATGCCGGAGGGTGCCGGAGCTAGTGATGAGGAGATTCGACAGATCATTCATGAGGAGG